CCCTTGTTGATATCGCATATTTATCCTGAGGAAAAGAACATTATGCCCTGGAAAAAACCCCTAAATGGTACATGCGAGGCTTTCCTTTTTTTTTTTTTTTTTTTTTTTTTAGTATGATCTGTTTTTACGTATCTCATTCCCCTTTCCACTTGCATACATTGTGTTGATTGTGACTGTTGTTCAGGTGATGTCTGTTGTTTTGCCAGATAAGTCTACAGAGTTTTCCTTGTATTTACAATTCCATTTAAAGCATAGTTTTTTAATTTATGTGCTAGCAGCCTTTATGGCCAGTAAACATTTGCTGTTTACTGAATACTGCTCTTTTTTATTTTTTTATTTTTTTTATTTTTTTTTTTTAGGCTTGCAGACCAGATGAGGATGATGAATTTTCCTCAGTGGTTTGATTTACTGAAGAATATTTTTTCTAAGTTTACCATCTTCCTTAAGAGAATAAAGGTAGGACGTTCATTTACCAAGAGCTTCACATAGTTCAGACATGAAATGGAATGAAGTTACTTTTCCATTTGAAATCTTAAGGTGTTGGCTTTGCTTATAGAGTTCAAACTTTTGATTGAAAGAAGGGTATGTGAATATTGGCATCCAGGGCAAAAATGATTAGTGCTAACAAAGAGAGCAGTGGGAAGGAGATAATACCTCTTGTTGCGTGATTACATCCATTTCAGGCTGCTAGGGATTAGGACAGAACTTTTGTATGTGTTAGATTGCTCCAAATGAGGTTTCTTTCACCATTCTCGGAAACATCTCATACTGGTTACCGTCAGATGGATGGGTCTGCCTCTGAATGCCAATTATACAATAGAAAATAAAGCCAGGATCTAGTTTGTGGTTAAAAGAAAGTTTCTTTTTAGCACAAGCTCATGGCACAGGGTGTTGGTTTTTTTTGTAACAGAAGTTATGTTTGATTCTAGGCAACGTTAAATACGATCCGTAGCGTGGTTTTCTTGGTTCTAGACAAGAACCAAAAATCCAGAGACCTGGAGGACACCTTACAAAAGAACTCTGCTAAAGACAGTACGGTGGACACAGAAGTGGCTTACCTGACTCATGAAGGCATGTTTATAAGTGACGCGTTCAGCGAAGGAGACGTCCCACCTGTAGCAGCTGACACTACCTCTCAGAGAAACACTTCCCCAAATAGTGAGCCTTGTAGCAGTGATTCGGTCTCTGAACCAGAGTGCACTACCGATTCCTCATCCAGCAAAGAGCAAACATCGTCTTCTGTTACGCCAGGGGGAGTAGAGATGATGTAAGTAAATGTGCTTCTTGTCTCCGCTTTGCAGCATGTCAGAAACAAGGTGTTAGGTGCAGGTGGTTGTTTCTGATGATCCAGTACAAATATTACTTTGAAGGAATGTGCTTTTCTAGGTAAGAAAAGTGCAGTGGCTCTCCACCATCACCCCTAGAGACTACCATCAGACGGCACTGCCCCCAGCTCACTTTTATTTCCTTTATTTGCCTTGTTTTCACCTCTGTGGAGACTGATTATGTCAATTCTTACAGAAAATGGCCCCTTCTCCATCTGTGCTGCTGGGGAGCCCGCTTATGTAGAGAGCAGGAGAGATGCCAGTCTAGCCTACATGAAAGACAGATTGTTTGCCATGCCTTTAGCAGGCAGAAGCATCTCCATTCCCTGTCCATGTTCCTTATGGCTATTTTTTTCTGGTGTGGTTTTTTTTTTTTTTTTAAGCTGGCTTCATGGAATGTACCTTGATAAATTCTAGAGAAGAATCTGCCGTTTATTGTCAACTATTTGACTTGCATGCTTCAATAAATCCATCTCAGTGCTTTGGTAACAGGCAGTACTGCCCTGTGGTGCTCCAGACTCCAGAGTTATAACCTTTTTGGCATTCTTGTATGCATACCTTATTTATGGCTGGAAGTCAGAGCTACCTTTTTAAAAGAACCAGGCCTAGTGTGTGTGGGACGCGGGCATGAGCCATTTCAAAAGCCAGCATGTCTGGATACAGAGTTCTATGAAGCAGAATCAAAATGCCACTTGTTACCCTGCTGAAAGATGGAAGTGGCCTGCTCGCTCTAGCTGATTGGTACTCAAGTGCTTACATTTGTATGTTGAAGTAACTGTCAGTTTTGGTGGTAGAGACCTTGGCCCTCAAATCACAATGCTGACTGAAGGAGATAAATTTAAAATAAATATGCTGTGCATAAAACAAATTTGGGCCTTTGTAAGTCCAAACATCCATCACACACTGAAAGAGAAATGCAATGTGAAGAGGACTGCAGGGTTACAGTGAGGAGCAGGGAGGGTGAAAGGAGTTGGATCTGAACTGGTCTGGAGCACTTTGCCAAGTTTGCTAAAAATATACCACCCAGCTAGAGCTCTCGAGTAATAAAGTTGTTTCCAAGGCTGGTTGCATAACTTCGTTCTAAAATGAACTTGCTTCATCTGTCTTCTGGTTTTCTTTGCACCTCTGCTCTGTGTTGGGAGCAAGCTAATAAAATTACATGGTTACAACAGTGTTAGCCCAGTTGCTGTTCTGTAGCCTCCTGGATTTTCTCCTCTCATACTATCAGTCCCTTAAGCAGCCACACTGGACCAAGAGATTATTACCTTAACTAATTACATGAATGGCAGAGCTGTGCTACAGGCTAGCCTCAAAACAGACAAATCACAAAAGGTTTTTTAAAAAGCACCAGCTTAGGAGTCTGAAGTCTGAAGAGCTAATAGCATGACAGCCTATAGGTTAGGGTGGTGGGGAATGCCAAGTATCTATTTTAGGCCTTACACTTGCATTGGAAGAAAAATGCTGTGTTTTATCTGTTGTATGCTTGTAATGCTCAAGTGTTACAGGAGCTGGGTAAATTTTAGCTCAGTAAATGTTAATATTTATTGTATTAGTAAAGGTTCTAACATGTTTTCTCTTAGACCAGTAATAGCAATTGGAATGTGGATTTAAAACAATATATAAGGACTTGCAGTTGTGCATTTACTTGTTAGAGTTACTGACATGACATTGACAGCAGCTTAGAAGATCCCATCCGTACAAAGTGACTTTGGTGATTAACTGACTGTCTGCATTTGACAGTTGCTGCAAGGCTCTTTCCTCCTTCAACCTGTGAGCAGAAATACTGGGGTTTTTAATAAATTAATGCTCAACCAACTGGTTCTGTCATTCATAGGATCAGTGATGACATGAAGTTGACTGACCTGGAACTGGTCAGGCTGGCAAACAATATTCAAGAGTTACTTTATAATGCCTCTGATATCTGCCATGATCGTTCAGTCAAGTTCCTCATGGCAAGAGCAAAGGTAAGGAGTTTGGGTCAGACTGCTGTTAGTGTCTCATCCTTAATGAGAATTTACTCCCAGGTTATTGGTTTAATGAGTGAGAGTTCTGAAATGGCGTTCTCAATTGAAATTTAGTAACTGTTCCTGCTGCCACAGGGGCTTGATGTTAATGCCAGGAGTGCACAAGTGTTAATGTATCATGTCATTGCAAGGGTACTTTTTTTCGAATTTAGTATTCTGACCTGCAGTCTTTGAAGTTCCATGCAGCGAATGCATATCTATGACAAGGTAGCTGCTTGCACTGCAATCTGCCTTCTGTGTCTCATGTAGGGTTAAATAATGTGCCTCTTAAAATACTAGTAGCCCTCAGATATGCTGACTAGTTATTTCTTTGCATTTCTGAATTTTTGTGGTGTTATGTTTGCTTATGGTGGTTTTCTTTACCTATAGGATGGCTTCCTAGAGAAGCTGAATTCCAACGAGTTTGTTGCTCTTTCTCGCTTGATGGAAGGCTTTATCTTAGATACTGAGCAGATCTGCGGCAGAAAAAGTATGTCCTTGCGAGGAGCACTTCAGAGTCAGGCCAATAGATTTGTGAATAGATTCCATGAGGAGAGGAAGACGAAACTAAGGTATCTCTGGATATATATCTAAGGTCATTGTGTTCTTACATGAATGATTTTATCAACCATATGCTAGGCAGACACAGTCTTTTCTTGCCTAGGACACTAGTAAGCCAGTTGTACTTAAGAGCAGAGGGTGAAAAAAACTGTGTTAAAACTCAGTTATCTTCAATTGATTATTACAGTTTTCATAACTTAATTTCTTCAAACTGGATTGTTGCCTACTTAAGGGCAGTAATAGCTACAGGAAGTACTCAACACTGACATTGAAGGGCAGGATTGCTGGGTCTCAGGGCTTAAGTAACTACAGGATAACTCACTTCCAACTGTTTTTAAAAACAAACAAAAAACCCCAACAAAAATAACCCCCATCCCAAACAAATCAAACCCAAAACCAAAAAAAAAACCCCAACCCAAAAAACCTCCAACAGAAACAACAATTTAAAAAAACCAAACCACTTGGAGCACAGCCTTCCCAGTAACATACATCAGGTCTTTTTGCTCTGATCCATCAAAAGCTCTTAAAATTCCAGTATTGACGCATTACTTCAGTGGCAGTGATCTCATAAGGATCTCTATTGCCTAGTGTCGTCTTTTGTCCTCTATGACAGATTGAATGAACAAATTGTGAGATCTCTAGGCCAACACAGTGTTTTTCTGTTTTGCTTCTACCAATGGTTGGGCACCCTCTTTCTAATGAAGATGAATAACAGAACATTTTGGGCCACTGGCTTTTTTTTAAATTACCGTAGTTTTGATTCCGCAGCATTACAAGCAGAAAAAGTGTCGAGACAAGGCATTTCATTTTCTCAGCCTCATCTCTTTTGTGTTTATAACTAGCCTACTTTTGGACAATGAGCGCTGGAAGCAAGCTGAAGTTTCTGCTGAGTTTCAGGATCTTGTCAATTCCGTGTCAGATGGCAGAATTTCTCTCCCTGAAAAAAAAATGGCAGGTGTGTATCTTGCAGTCCTACTGTTAACTGAATTTGTTATCAGCAAATGCTGCTGTTGAATGTTGATGGACATATTCCAATGTCACTCATGATCTGTGTTTGCTTGCTGTCTTCTGCGAGGATCAGAAGGAAGCTGATAGCTTTTTTCTTTTTTGTTTTTCTTTTTTTTTTCTGTTCCTGGTGTTGAAACTCCTTGTGCTGACCTTAAAAAAATATTTATTTATTTTTTGAAAACCCTTGAAAGTGTTAGCACAGGGAGGGAGCTATGTTTTTATACAACTATTCCCAGTGTAGAGGCTCACAGTCTTTGCGCAAATCCAGTCTTTCCCCAAAACATACCACTGAAGTGTTGCAAGGGACCGAGAAGCCTGTGTGTGTGCTCAGCCCCCCCTTACGTTAAGCAAAGCTTGCTCCTTCCCACTACTTCATCTGCTAGTTGTTCAGATGAAAGGCGGCATGCTATGTGGCTGCTTAGGGAAGTGAAAACTCGTGTACATTCAATTATTTACCTTGCCACAGAAACCTCATTTGACCTCAGACAAGTCACTTTTTTTCTCCTCGTGCCCTATTTCCCCATGTGCAAAAGGGGAACGCATAATTCGTTCTTACCTTGTGGGGATGCTCATCCGATATTGCAGTGATGAATGTGTGTGAACAGCTAGAAGAGGAGGAAAACATACATGGAGAGGAAGGAAAATGGCAATAGGTGAGAAGGAAGAAAATCTATTCATGCCGACCCCCACCTACCCCGAAGGAATATAGCAGATACAAAGAGCGTATTAGGCAATAATCACTCCAGTTATGGAACACAACACCAAAATATGCTCATTAGCCATTGCTCTTAAAATAAGCTCTTGCAGCTTCCTTCAAGAAGATAGGAAACTGCTGGCATCAAATTTAGCATGAAAAACTGTATCGGTAAGAGCTTCCACTGTGAAGCCTGAGGAAGAAGTGGTTTGAAGCTAAAATATTAATGTACACAGCAAATCATTTGAGAATGTGTGGTAGAAAACCTAGTGACTTTTTCTGCTTTTCTTCTTCTGTTTGTAACCTGTTGTGTTTGAAGTTTCTAAGTCTATAATGACTGTGAGACTGTGGGGTATTTTTGATCTAAAATCCCAGCAGATAATAATAAAGTTATGATGGGTCACCAACTATATAATCAATATTGTAAAAGAGAGCAGTGCTCCAAAGATTGATTGTGGGTTTTTTCAAGCCTTAGCAACTACATTTTTAGAAACTAGCATTTCTTTATACTTGTTTTTAGTTCAACTCATCCCTTTTCCTTTCTTGCTAAAACGTCTAGCTACTGAAGAAAGAAAGCCGACTGAATTCCTTATTGTTGAAGGACAAAAATATGCAACAGTTGGGTAAGATGCACTCTTTTCTCTTAGCAGTGGGTTAGTTGGCAAGAATTTTTGAGTAGAACTGTGATGAATTCTAACAGCTTGAGAAATTTAATTTGATTTTAAAAAAACCCTCTCCTTCCGCAGACTAGTTTTTCTTTAGTTCCCGAACAGTTATAAAACATTGCAAGCTCTTCTGTACATTAAAATGCTGTTTCTTCTCTGAAAGACTAGGCTGAAAGTTATGGTTTCATTTGAATATGTTTTTTTTCCCCAATTATTTCATGAAAACACATGAACGTACGGGTTTGTTTTCATAGCACACTGTTGTTATTTGTTCCGATATAGATTATCTCTGTTGAAGTTGTAAAATCAGAGAATGGTTTGGGCTGGAAGGGCCATTTAAAGGCCACCTAGTCCAACCCCTTGCAGTGAGCAGGGACATCTTTAGCTGCATCAGGTTGCTCAGAGCCTCGTCCAGCCTCACCTTGAATGTTTCCAGGGATGGGGCTTCTGCCACCTCTCTGGGCAGCCTGTGCCAGTGTTTCACCACCCTCATTGTAAAAAATTCCTTCCTTATACCTAGTCTGATTCTACTCTCCTTTAGTTTAAAACCATTCCTCCTTGTCTTATTGCAACAGGCCCTGCTGAAACTGTCCCCATCTTTCCTGTAGGCCCCCTTTAAGTACTGAAGGGCCCCAATAAGGTCTTCTCGGAACCTTCTCTTCTCCAGGTTGAACATCCCCAAAATACATGTGTCCACTACTGAATGATTGCCTATGTTATTCAGAACAAGAAATAAGATATGGGCTATCTCAGAAGGTGCATGCGCTATTTCTTGGTATCCTGACTGCTTTGGATTGGAAAGTAGTTTCTTAAAGCAGGTTATACCAAAGCCATTTTAAAATACAAGATACACACGTACTTCTTTCACTTAAAAGCATGCTTGTTTCCAAAGACTGTGAGGCTTAAGCATTAAATATGCATGAGAGTGTTTTTGGGGAGGGAGTAAAACCTGGAAGATCTCACTCCCCAGAGTTCTAACATCAATTTACCCAAACTTAAAAGTTCTGATTTACATAATGTCTTTGACCAGCTGTCATTTTATGAGTTGCTTCATGATGATGTGTCATTGTTCAATTAGAAACAGAAGCTGGTGGCTCAGAACTTCTGTACCAGCCAACTGATATCACTGCAAAAGAGCATTTCAGGTCAAGTAGGAGCATTTGAACATTCTTTAAAAGATAAAATTTACTTATGTATGATGTGTTTGATAATCCATCTCTGCTCATTTGAAACTTGTTATATTTAGCTCTGTGAGTCAATTGTCAACTTCACGGTGGTGCAGATGTTTGTTCTACATGCTTCTACATAGAGTTTCATTGTATTTAATTAAATAAAATGCTTTCACAAAAAAAAAGCCTATATGTTCCCCAAAAATTCTCCAAGTGTTTGTTTTCAGTTGATTGTTCATCATCTTTCGGCACCCTACTGCCTAAGGAAGAAAAGATTTAACTTTTTGAAATGTTAGAATATCTACTCTGAACATTTGATCTTGCCTTAGTTTTCCTGTCCTCTTTGTAGTTGAATTCAAGGAGGCATACCTGCTCTTTGTGGAGCCTTCTTAATTCCATCCAATAGCTCCCAAATTCTCCAGTGCCTCCTGAATTCAGGTGAAGTTACAGGTGTTGAGCATCTTTGAATATTTGGTGCTGTTTCTTCACAACTGCCTTCTCCGTTTGTGACTCCTTAGCATTCATTACATCCTTTTCAATGGTCCTTGTTGTCTATGTTCTGTGGATTTTTATACTTGCTCAAAGCTGGCCAGAATTATACAGTAGTATAAGAAAGGAACTTTGGAGATTTTTGTCCCCCGCCAACATCTATGTGGAGGCTTTGAGTTCCACAGTAGCTTTTTTGGAGATTAAAAAGTTACACCTATGAACATTGGAGATTTTCTTTCATATATGTTAAGTACTTTTTCCATACGCCACCCTGTTGAATGGGTATTCTTTATAACCATCTTTATTTAGATCTTCTTTTGTGTTTTCCTTCTACTTCAGCTCAGTCAGTGGCTATATTTAATGCTATAATCTCTAGCATTAGGCAGCTTTCTATCAACATGACTGCTATTTGATTTTTTCAGTATCTTCTGTGCACTGAGATGACATGTTTGGCTGTTTCCTCTCTTGTAGGACAGTATTGCTGTTAATAAGAATAATCCTTGAGTACTGCCAGTGTGTGGATAACATTCCTTCCATCACCACTGACATGCTTACCCGCCTGTCTGATTTACTGAAGGTATGACTCCAAATGTACCATCTGTGCTAATCAGGGGTGTTCAGCGTGGAGAATGTGTCTTACTCTCTGTAGCACTTAACGTGCTTTTGTGATTTCATATAAATGATACAAATTGTCTAGAAATTACTGCGTTTGCCATAAGGTATTTATGCCATATTATGATGCCATAAAGTAGCCTTTTAAGCTAAGGGCATTAAAGATGACATTTGTTGTGCAAATTAACTTCAGGAAGGCTGTCTTTCCTCTTGTTCACCTGGAATATTGGAAATCTCATCTAGTAGTGTTTGTCATAGCTGCCTGTCCTTCAGGCTGGGGTCAGGATTAACGCTGCTGAAGAAAAAGCAATTTGATCCCAGATGCCCCAGAGGTATATCTATATTCAGGAAGGAAACAAGTCCCTTGTTTTTTACAAGTCAGTAGCGGTATAGTCAGTAGAAGCATGAAAAACAGTATGGGATGAAGCTTCTATTGTAAAATGTAAAGATGATGAAAGACCGGGACCTTTTTGTCATTTATTTTTCACTGGAGAAGAGGAAAGCTGATAAAGCACAGATACTGCAAGGTAATATAAGAAAAGAATAATAAAAGGAGGACATGAATGCACCTTAAATCTGTCATATATATATATAGGCTCAAGCCTAGCAGTTCATTTATTTCAAGGTTTTCACTTTTGTCTTTGCCCACAAAGTTTATGTCAGGTATTAGAGTTCTGAACGTAGGCATAATTGATAAAAGATGAACAGATTCTACTGTCCAAAAGTATGTTTTGCATAAGGTAGGGGATGGGGGAGGGGAAACACACCCTAGGAGATGGAACTTTAAATAATCTTGCTGTTGGTAGTTCTTATCTGAATAGCAGCTGCAGGAACACTCCTCCCTGCAATCATCATTCAGCTTTATCCACAAACTTTCCCCTTTGAAAGCACCATCCAAAGCAAATCAGTCAGTCTGGGACTGGGGCTGACCTTCTTCACCTCTGATTCTCCAGCTGCTGATACGTTCAAGGCTTGCAGCACCTTTTTGCAGGCAGGCAGAATAGCAGCGAGATGCCTCAAACTTGGCCAGATGTGCATCTCTGTGTTGCTTCTCTCTTCCTACCTTATCTTGCTCTAGCTCTAAAACAGTTGTGTTTTATTCCTTGGTGTTCAAACATCATGTGCAGTTTAATTATTGTATTTCCTATCTGGTGGCAAGGTGCCATCAATTGGAGGGATGACAAGAACACCTAGCAAAATCAAAAGCTTGTTTATTACACTTTGAACAAAATAAAAGCCAGTCAGGGTGTCCTTGCAGGTCACTATGCTTTTTGTTTGACAACTGTCAGGACTAGCAAGCTTTGAGGGTAGCAAGAGCTGGTCTTTATTGCGATGGAAACTGCAGAGTGTTCCCAGGTAATGAAATTCTAGGCCGTCTTGAACTGTGGCTGTAACCAGAGTGAAATGACACCTCTGTAGCGACAAAAACACGATCATAATTACTGGAGTTTTTAGTTGGTGCAGATGAGAGCAGGCTTGCAGCGACGGTGCCTGAACACAGAAGTGCTTTCCTCCAAGCAGTCACAAGGAGGGGGTATTGCTCTTTTGATGTTTCAGGCATGCTGGTTTCTCGCTGCTTTGTCTGCAGCGGGCAGGCCGGTAACTGAGTAATATCCATGAAAGGCAGGGAGAGAGTACGGGTGTCTGTCGTCCTTTCTAGAGTATGTTTTTAGTGGTCTGCCGCGCAGTCAGTGGGTTGGTGCTAACCTGAGCTGAATACCTCAGAGGAGCTTAGGCTATGTAGGATACATCTGTGTTTGGCTCAGTGGATCTACTTCTAAAGTCCACCAGGAAGCATAAGAAAAGGGTTTGCTTTTCAGGAGGAGGAGATGAAGTGAATGTCAGACAGTATCAGACTCTGACTTCTGTCTGAGAGTGGAGTAGATTATACCGCTCTCAAGTCAGGAGCCACACATAGCTCAGGTTCAGTCGTGGCACTAGGTCTGGATTACTTTTCTGGCCCCAGCTACACCACTCTAGCAACCAAGAGCGGGTGTGTGGGGTTCACGGTGTATCCTCTGTGGTCCTGGGTTTTGTGACTCACTCCAGGAAACAGCCTGAAAAATTGCTTCCTGTTTTTACTCGAGGAGGGTTAAAATTTTGGATTTATTCTTGCGTTATTGTGAAGCAAGACCTGTGAAGCAGGATTGTGGCCCCAAAAAAACGGAGCTCTATGTGAGGGATATCCTCTGTGTTGCAGGCACAAAAGCTGCAGGGCAACCTTGTCACAATTTCTTGTGAGTCTTTCTTCAGGTGCGTGAGAACAGGTCAGCTCCCTTGTGGGTTTTGCCTCCTGATTTCCACCCTAGTGTCAACAGGACAGTTGTGTTAAAACATGAGTCCTGAGACTTCGGCTGTCCATTCAGTGCAGGAATCAGGGACAACAGCAACAGCTCCTCTGTCTCTGCTGCATAACCCAAGCCAGTGTAGACTATCTGGTGTCTCAAGATGGGTGATGGAGCAGAATTCCAAAATAAGACAGACTATGCTAACAGGAACTGTCTTACTGACCAGAGGCTTTGGCCTGTGTGCATTTAAGGGTAACTTCTATTCTCCTGGAACTAGTTAGGAAGATCAAGGCATGAGTAGTCCACAATACCTGGAATTCCTACAGAATTGTTTTTTGATGTGGCTTAACTTCTGTGCATCACTTCTTAATCTTGGTGTTCTACAGTGTTAAAAACATAGATTCAGCCACTTCAGCAGCAGTGAGTTTCAGTGCTTCCAAGTTCTCCTTAATGCTACCATGGGAAAGGTCTAGAGCCAAAGCAGAAAATCGTTCTTTTGGTCTTTTCCATTCTGACATTACACTTGTCTGTTCTACTTGGCAAAACTAGTGAGATCCTTACCCTTCACTCTGTGCAAGGTCCTGGTTTGAGAAGTACACTTTATAGATTTCTAGTACAAAGTCGTTATTGTGTATGGCTGTCAAAGTAAGGCTGAACATAGCTAGTCTACAGCAAGTCTGACTTGCTGCTTTTCTGTCATACTGAGAGAAGCCTCACCCAAAGGTCTCGTAGAGAAGCAGAAATTAGTCCTTGAATTGAAATCACTGAGTAGCTGTATTTTTAATAGCAGTATTTCTACTTGCCTTTGCTGAAACGCTGCCTTGAGTGCTTTAGCATAAGCTGAGTCAAAAAATACTACAGGCTAGTGGCTACTGAGAGTGGTGAAAAAGTTCCTTTTGTCTCACTAGTTAAGTCATGGACACCTTGTGGTAAGGAGTATGTGACACTTTGGAACTGGCCTTCGTAATAATTTATTTAATCTTGCAAAGTTCTATTGATGGTATTTCTAAACTGCGGTTATGTGTAGTTGTTAAAAAGTCAGTGTGCATTTTCACTCTCTCTTTCTTTCCTCACAGTATTTCAACTCTAGAAGTTGCCAGCTAGTGCTTGGAGCTGGAGCATTGCAAGTTGTTGGTTTGAAAACAATCACTACAAAAAACCTAGGTATGGATTTCTATATTTAAAATGTTAAAGCTTGTTCTCCTGCCTGTTAAAAAAGACAAATGTAAAAAATCCCTGAACATTATGTTAAGCTATGTTTGTAATCTGGTGCCATGCATAGAGCACAGAGGGTGACAAGGCCTTGCTAGTTAGGGGGTAAAACATGTATTAATAAAAAAAAAAAAGCTAGCGAATGATCTGATTAAGGGGTGCACTAACACCCATCAAATTCCTTTGCTGTCCGCCAGATCACTTTAAATGTGAAGCTTCACTGTGTTACATGAAGGAAACATAAGAACAAATATACAGGCTAGCAAGTTTTCCGTGAAAATGTTTTGACGATGGGAAGGTGTAGTTGCTTTTTCAGCGGTGACTTTGGCATGCTTGGGAGCCGCTTAGCATTCAGATCTTGAGACTGGAGGTACGTAGGTGGAGGAATGCAGCCAAACCCCTGTCTCCCCTTGCGTTTCGCTGAGCTGTGCTGCCCCATCTGCCCCGTGGTGCTGTATTCTGTAATGCCGTGTCCACACACAGCTGCTGCGGGTTATAACTGCATGTCAGTAATGCACAAAATGATTTCTGTGGGTGGCTCTGAATCGAATAGTTAGTCTTTATGTGGCTAAATGTCCCAGCACAGTCAGGTAACAGGGCTCTGTGTGCTGAATCTAAACTATAATTTGGGGTTTAGAGTTTTTCAGTTTCAGCATGCAGCTGTTTAACTGAATTGCCAGCCTCAAGTTACCCGCCTGGACTGCTTTAGCTGCTCTGAAAAGCTGGGGAGAACTAGGTGCCCAGTTCCATGCTACAGAAAAGTCTGACATGCTACTCGAGAGCCCCGGTTTTAAACTAGCTCCTGAAATTAAGAGCCTTTGATTGATGGGTTGAAGCAGGCGTTTGAACTTGCAGTTCCCATGTTTCAGAGTGTCCTGATTATCAGTCTGCATCTCCCTTTTAGAAAGGGAATACCTTGAGGAGGATGGGTTGAGAGGCTTCCCCCCCAAGGGGCCATGGCTGTAGTGCTGGAGCAGTCACAAGTGAGCAGAGAAAAGCTGGATTGGGTCTTTGCTCCAGAAGGCTTGGCCGGTGTTGTGACCACGCCGGCACCACCGCGTCCTGCTGCTGGCTCGGGCCCTGTTAGACACAAGAGAAGCTTGGTTTTGGGAATCCTGCTGGCACCGCAGGCGGGAGCAGACTCTGGGCAGCTCAGCACTGGCAGGGCAGGGTGTTTATGTACGCCTCCTGCAGAAGAAATACTGACATCTCGAGAATGTGGCTGCCAAGGTTAGATAGCTGATTAGTCAGGTCTTTTGAGGTCTCTCTGATGTATGCATGTGCTCAGGGCTCAAAATGTCAAGTAGACACTTAAAGCCTCTTGTAAAATTAGTCCCTTAACCCGTATCTTACAGAAGCTGGATGTGAATAGCTAGGTACTAGTCTGGTGTCTTCACTGGGTGGGGTTTGCAGGTGGAAGCAAATGCTTACTTCCTTCTTTTTTAGGCATGTTAAATTGTGTTAGAGCTGTTCTTTATGTTAAAGGAGATACAAAATGATTCTTCCTTGTAATAATTAAGTTATTTTTCTTTCCCTCTTGCTTCTGGATTTACAGCCCTTTCTTCACGTTGCCTACAGCTAATCGTACACTACATTCCTATTATCAGGGCTCATTTTGAAGCTCGACTGCAGCCAAAGCAGTTTAGCATGCTCAGGCATTTTGACCACATTACGAAGGTAATTCTTCTGGCATTTCCTAATTAAACGCAAAGTTCTGCTTTTCGACTGTGCTCTGGAAAAATATGAATGCCATTAGATAATAAATAAAACCTGCTTTCTTCCATTACAGGATTATCACGACCACATAGCTGAAATTTCAGCAAAACTCGTTGCCATAATGGATAGCTTATTTGACAAACTATTATCCAAGGTAATGATTTATGGAAATAATTATACACTCTCTAAATGGGAGGTCTCCTAGATGTTTCAAATGGAGTCTTAAACTTTCCTAATCAGGACTTCTTTAAACTGTATAAACACAAAGCTCTGTGCTGTACTTGTGAATGTGTTTTGTCTTAACATTTGCCACCTGGGTTTCCTTCGCCTTCGCCCCCACAAAAAAAACTTGTTCATTTACTCCTTCAGCAGTACAGAAATGCTTTGGCTGGCACAGATGCTCTGGTGTTTAGAAACTGAAGTGCTCTCCTACCCTCAGCAGTTTTATCCACTGACAGCTCTTATCTGCAGTCAGGCTGAGCCAGTTCCCGTTTCCTGCTCTTCCCAATGTGCCTCTTTGGAAGTGGGGAGTGTCTCATTCCCTGCAGCTGAGGAAACAGCAAAAAAAACTGCTGAAGAGAAAGAGGTTTTGGAGGGGAAGGACCAGCCCATCTATTGGGCTGCTGGCCTGGGGACTAGAGGTCTGCGCTTAGCAGTTCCCGCTGTGTAGCAGCGTTGATAGCTGTCCCATGAAGTGCTCTGGGCGGTTTTTTGGGGTTTGAACGCTCGTCAGCAGAACAGGTTGGTCCTGGGCTAGATCCAGTCACTCTGATTCACCTCAGGGTGGAATACGCTGATGGAGACTGCCGAAGATGGGACCTCCTGGGCCCACAGATCTCATAGATAAAGTACATGAGCTTTTAAAGCTTAATGTTTTGCTTTGGATCGTATGCTCTTAAAAAAAAAAAAAAAAATCACAAAACAACAACAGGAAAAAAAAAGCTCTTCCATGAGAGAAGTAAATTCATTCTTTAGTGACAGATTTGATTGACTGGCCTGGGACAACCTCTTTGTTGTAGGAGCACAGGAGAAGCACAGCATCCATCTCCCTGGTGAAGCACAGGAGACAGGCTGATGTGGGCTGCAGTGAGGCAGCTGTAACAGGCAGCATTTCTGTCTTCCTTGCTGTTTCTGTTCTTTTATTGGTTATTTTATGTTGTGCATTTTCTTTTCATCTGTTTCTTTGCGTTTTCAAACAGTGTTACCTAAACGGGGGGGGGGGGGGGAAAAAAAGCATTGAAAGTCAGATTCCCCGCCCTGTGTTGTGTTTACACGTCTTGAAACATGTTTATACCCTTTTCTGAAGACCCAAACAGTGATCTGCTGCTGTTTTGCGGTTTTTTCCCCATATAAAAATACCTGTTCTATAAAGTAACATGGCTTTTTGGTCACTTATCTCTTGAAAATAAAAACAAATGCAAGTATTTAGATTATTGATACTAAACAAGTTAGCCCATGACAAACCAGTAACACAATTTATGTTCTTGATGGTAGTTGGCAAGTATCCATCCCTTACTGTCCTTCCATCTTTACAGCCCATTCTCCCTTGGTGAGCTGGCGCAAGATACAAACTGAGAATATTCCTGTCCTTTAGAGCTTTTAAAGGTTTGAGAGAGAGTGCCTGGCTCAGGTGAATGCAACTCAGAGTACAGGAGAAAAGGAGATCGTTTGTCGGTTTGCCTCCATTCCAAACATACCCCATAATTTGGCTCATCTTGTTCCTGAAATAATGAAATCTTGGCACTGAAGGCTGTGAAGAACATAAAAACAGGACACTTGCAAATGGGCATGTCAGCGCAACCGTGTCAGTGTGTTCTTTATTTTATGTGTTTTTGTAAGACTCCAGATATTTCAGTGCCTTGTGGATAAAGGGGTCACCTGCTCTAAAGTGTGTAAATCTGAGTAAGCGAGTGAATTTCACAGCAACGTGTGTCCAGCATGCTTTAAAACCAAACATTGCACCTTCTAGAAACCACCTTTGTGGGAGAAAAACAGTTTGGGCCAGCAGATGGGACATTAACCTGGCACTTGGGTAACGTGGGCAAGTTACTTCTGCGTTTCCAGGCTCTGCTTCCCTCTGGGAGCTCGGTGGAACAGGAGCTGTCTTCACAGAGTGCCACTGTGATGAGGCTGTGCGCTCAGCAAGGCATTTCACAACAGCACGGACAGTTCCCAGCATCTGTCTGATAACTTTGGCAGGGAGATAAAACAGGAACAGGGGTATTTAACAGCTATAATTAACGAGTGAAAAACGCGTAGGTTTTTAAAAAGGGATAAATGTTCATGGAAAAAATCCAGTGCAAGTTCTTAGCTTCTCTTGGAGCTTGCTGTCTTGTGACTGTTTGGACAGAAGAGTAGTAAATTTTTTGTCTCATCCCTTATGGTATTACACGCTGTTGACCTTCGCTGGAGGTAAAAATGGCCAGCGCCTTGCAGGGCTGGAGCTCATGTTTCTTGCTGGTGCTTTTCACTGCCCCATCACGATGGGATTTGATTTGTCTGTAGTCATGCAAGAGCCGTTGCTGCAGCTTGCCAGTTCCCCTTGGCTTTACAACGTACTGGTAGATTGTAAATCATTTGTTGCCTAACTCTCATGTCTTCAGGCAGAATCCTGTCCGCTGTGCGGTTGTCCTACACAGGGAGCCAGGCTCCTGGAGCAGCAAGACTATTTTTCTGCTACTTCTCCTGTGAAAATCAAGTCGTCGGTTTGGCTTTTCTGTGAAGACTTTCTCAAACCCCCCCCCCCCCTTTTTTTTTTTCCTTTCACACTCAGGCAAGCTCTATTCTTTTTCACAATCCAGGCTAGCATAAGAGAGAGCATCTCCTCCAATGTGTTTGTAAATCATTTAGTTGTAATGATTCAGCTCTTCCACTGAACTGTGCAAGGCTCTGTGGGGAAGGATCCCCCTTCCAAAGGTGACCTACCAGGCTTTAACCCAGCTAGCAGGCCCCTCCACCAGGAACTGAAGAGCTGCCTTCTCTGTTCCTGGGACAGGTTTTTTGTTTTTGTTTTTGTTTTTTTTTGAAAGTGCTTCTGAAATCATGTTCAGGTCTTCCCTATCCAGGGCGAGGAAGTAAGAATTTTTGTAGCAAATCTCTTGCCATCTGGTGGTTTCCAGGCTCTCGTTTCTTTTATTTCAGTCACTGGGAGAGGGGGACGTTTTCTACTTTGTTTTCCAAGGTATTTTTGCAACATTTTTGTGGGGGTGTTTTGGTTTGGGTTGTTTTTTTTTTTTTATGGCCAATGTTGAGTTTTCAGGAACTTCTATTTCTTTAAGCTTTTCCTTTCCTTGTTTCTTCAGAAATTTGGATATATATGATCTTAGAGAATTAGTTTTCTCTCATGAAGTGCTTGGGAGGCATATTCACCAGAGGTAGAATTGCTTGTCTGTCATTGCCTCATCCAAATGGGAAGGAGAGGGCCAGCTAGCAGGCCGCATGGCGTGATGATTCTCTCTGTAATTCACAGGGTAATTGAAACCCACAAAAAGTAATGAGCAAACAGAAGCAATTCAGGCTAACAAAGAGGAATAGGTGAAGTTGGGAAATCCTCAGATTTCATACTGTTTCAAATGTTGCTGTTTGCTTATAAAATGAGGAGTGCTGAAGGGTTGTATGATGTGAGTCCTTGGCTGAATCGGATCGTGCCCAGCGACTGTTTTAGTTTGGGATATGCTAAACGAACCTCGATTCATGACGTCATTAGCAACGCAAGGCTTCAGATGGCTTTTAGAAACTCTCCTATATAAACTGTTTTAAAGTGGTAGAAAGGGGTAACTGGTTGTGTCTTTATTTCCAGTACGAAGTAAAAGCTCCTGTTCCTTCAGCATGCTTCAGGAATATCTGCAAGCAAATGGCAAAGATGCATGAAGCTATATATGATCTCCTTCCTGAGGAGCAAACTCAGGTGAATGGTATTTCTGAAATTCATGTAACACCTCCCTTGCAAATGTGCATGGACTTGGTGACAAGAGACTTCTGCTTTATCTAGGGGGGTGAAATTCTTTTTTGAGTCTTTCTGAAACCTACACATTAAAGGGATTGGCAGCAGTCACACACACAGCTTGGTCTGAACTGAAGTAAGCGTTTGGATGTGCGGGGAGGACGATGAGACATGCAGAAAGAACTGACTGATTCCAGCATTTTAAAGTCTAGAGAGGTGACTCTTCAATTCAGGAATTAGTCCTGAAATGCTACACAAATGGCAACAGATTGAGGCTCAAGTACAGCCCTTTTAGGGAATTCTTCTGTAACGCTGCACAAACTTAGTGGCTTCTGAAGGTCCTTATGTGTATTATGTAGCCAGATTGTGCCAGATAGGCTTTTTCAGTATTTTGCTGCAGTTACTGCTACTGCGGAGTTGTAAATCTAAGGACAGGAAGGACCAATCCAGTCACTGAATACATGAAGCTGTTTCTCTTTTGCGCTAAATTAAATGGTCCCTTCAAACTGTTTTTCATGCTTTTCTTGGAAAAAAAGACTTAAAGTGGTTATAGTACAGGAAAGAGATTTCTTATCTTCTAGCCTTAATACAAGCTGCTAGATGCTTCAGACAACAGGGAAGAAAAATTCATGTGCCAAAGAACGTGTCTTCTAAGTGCAACACGTAATGAATAAGTGAGGGTGTAACTGTCCTGTGTGTTACAAACTGTATATGGCCAGAAGTGTTAGGAGGCTGAAGGACTGGCAGAAGGGAAAATAGCACAAATTGCTAAACCAAAACCAAAGGTTAGTGGCTTAAGGTGTTCGCAATGTATTTCCTCGCTGTAGGCGGTGACACAAGCACAGGGATGGTTCCTTACTCTGGTTCTGTGGTTTCTTCTAGATGTTGTTTTTACGAATTAACGCAAGCTACAAACTTCACCTGAAGAGGCAGCTGGCCCACCTGAATGTCGTCAATGATGGGGGACCTCTGAATGGGTATGTTTGAACACTACTTCTTTCACTGCTTAATTTAAATAAGTAGGCTTTGTCTTCTGCATTGCAGAAGGCAGCCACGCTCTGTGTTTTAGTAGGTCCCGTTTGGAGCTTTCTTACAGTAAAGGACATGACTTGTGCCTTTCCGTGGTAACTGGGAATGCAGTCAGCTTGGTAATCAATTGGGACTTGGGCATTGTCCTAAAGAAACCTGCTGCTGCAGGTTTCCTCAGGTTGTGGATTGCTTTGTCTCCTTTTGTGTGACAGCAGTTTAATTCGCAAGAATTGCATGATTCATGAAGCGGTTTTGAAACGTGTATGGTGACTCATGGCGCTAACAAAGTTAAAATAGGAAAAAAAGTGGTATTTCATCTGTGCAATGGGCAGCTTCTCTACAGAAATTTTTATGGCAGAGCCAGATTATGGTCACAGAGCTTTTTTCCTTTCCCGCCCCAGCCCAACCCTCTATCACTAAAACAGGTCAGTGGTACCTCTCCTGAGAGGGTGTAGCTGGCTGTGCCTGGTGTCCCACACTTCCCGGGGAAGCGTGCAGCCTCTTGCAGGCTGAATCCCATTGTACATTGGATTGTCCCCTGAAGCAGTGGGTTTTATAATTGTTCTTAATGACCCGGGGGTGTTTATTTGATGTGTAGTAAGGGTGACGTTTGCTCGGCCTACCTGCATGCAGGAAAGCATTGTGTTAGGTTGAAGATGCCAGAAAAGGAAGTTCATAAATGCTTCCAGTTTTGCTGGAATGAAGAAGAGTTTTGTCCTGTCCAGTTTATTCTTGTCCTCCTTGAGCTTATTCATCGTTGTACTCTGTGAAAGTTTATCTGAAATGGTTTTCTGTACTTGTGGTGTATTCGCAAGATAACATCCAGTTGCCTTTAGTACTTACAAAGGTATTTGTAAGCCAAGCAGCTTACTGAATAATGAGGCCGCAGCAGCCCCAGCTGAAATGAGAGCACCCAGAGTGCATTTGGCAGTGTCTCACCCCTGGGTTTCTAGTCCTAAGCAGTGTGCCGTGCTGTCTTCCTCCTCTCTCTTGGTTTTGTTTGATGCTTTGTGGCTGGGCGGCCTAAATGGATCCCTTTTTGGCAGGAGGGTCGGGGCAGGCGTTCCTGGTGACATACTGGTAGTGTATTTCCCAGCACAGTCCTCCTTGCTGTCAGGAGGGTCTCTTGGCTGGAGCTGGAAACACTAATGCCCCCAGTCTTGTTTCTTTCGTGGCAGCAGCTACTTACTTCAGAACATAGCTCTCTGGGAGTGTGTTGTCAGGGCCGTTTGAGAAGGGAAACCTCAAACACTGGATTTCACTTGCTGCTGTTCCAGCAGTCTTCCTTGACCTAGTTTTTAACATGCTTTTCTGATCCTCATCCTATTTTAAACTGCTTGTTTCTGTAATAATAGTAAAAATCCAGGCCTGTGAATCCTGGTTGATTTTTTACTATGGAACTACAACTTTTATGCCTACATAGAATCACAGAATGATTTGGGCTGGAAGGGACCTTAAAGCTTATCTAGTTCCAACCCCCTGTCATGGGCAGGGCCACCTTCCTCTAGACCAGGTTGCTCCAAGCCCCACCCAGCCTGGCCTTGAACACTGCCAGGGAGGGGGCAGCCACAACTTCTCTGGGCAACCTGTGCCAGTGTCTCACCACCCTCACAGTAAAGAATTTCTTCCTAATATCTAATCTAAATTGCCCCTCTTTCAGTTTAAAACCGTTACGCCTCGTCCTATCACTACCCTCCCTGGTATACCTTTCCTGTAGCCCCCTTCAAGTACTGGAAGGCCGCTATAAAGTCTCCCCGGAGCCTTCTCTTCTCCTGCTTTCTAACTGGTAACACCATGACCGTATCTGTCATCCTCTCATATATTTCAGCAACAAACAAAATCGCTGTTTGGTTGTTTTTACATTAACCCTCTAGAATACAGAAGCTAGTAATTAATGTTCTAAGTTGCAATGGAATCAGGGGTTTAAGCCTGGGATTACAGCAAGAGAATAGACGTTTTAGATGCCCAGTT